AAAAATTATGTATTTTCTTCTCATATAAAGTTCTGAGAATTTTTTCAGAATTTTTTAATACCGTATTTTCTCACGTTGGTAAAAATAAGAAAACGAAATACTAAAAAGTTAATAAAAAATTCTGAAAAAATTCTCAGAACTTTATATGAGAAGAAAATAAATAATTTTTGTTTCTTGCAGTTTTTCTGTAAAGTTGATAGTATTTGAGTAAAAAATTATTCAAGACCAATATTTTGCAATTTTTAGTAATTAATATTTTGTTAACTATTGCGAAAATTGCAAAATAGTAGAGGACTTTTCGACTCAGTTTAGTCCGCTCTATCTACACAAAAGTGATTGGTAAAAAAGGTCGGGACACCCTGTATATACAAAGTGTTTGATAAGAAACGATAAAACTCTCGCACAGGAGTAGAGCGTACTAAACTGAGTCGAAAAGTCATCTATCATTTTGCAATTTTCGCAATAATTAACAAAATATTAATTACAAAAGATCATCTTCATATCAAAATACTGGTTTTCAATAATTTTTTACTCAATCACTAATATATGTATAAATATGTAAATATGTAAATAAGAGATGTAACTTTACCACTGTCGGTCCCAAGTTCAAATAAAAAGAAAGAAGGTATCTAGTCATTTATCTGACTTTTTTTTAAATAACAGAACTTTTTCGTTACCAATTATCAATATACATATTATAGTCAATATAAATCGAATTTAAAAATACGAAATGATTCGTAAAAAGAATTAGTTAAAAAGCAATAATTGATGCATTATCGTATTTTCAAGTTATCATATTTTTCATAAAATTATTAATTTTTTTGTAACAAATGTCCTAATGAAAAATATGATCTAATTAACGTTTTGTGGTGCAATATTACTTGCATTTTATCCAATTTGGAATTAATTTCTAAATTATTGAGGCATAACTGACAGTGATTTTATAACGATGCGAATAAGGATTTTATTCATTTTAATTCAATGTACCAATTTTTCCTTAAATCTGGCATTATCATGATTTTTTTTTGTTTCTACGAAGAAAAATACATAAGAAAATATAGAAATAAAAGATCTCCGAGTGGTCGCGAAACCCTCGAAAATTGGTACTTTCCTTTATTTAGACTACTTTTCCAAATAAGATCTTTCAAAGATCCTAGAGAAAAAACTAAGCCATTTGGAGGTTTCTGCCCGTAAGGACTTTTAATCAGCTTGACATGATACAAAATATTAAAATTATTTGAAATAATTTAACCAAAACCTATTTCCCATAAGATTTGTGCGAAGTTTCTTTATGTATCTGCATCGCTGAGGAGGATTTCAAAAAGAGAAGAAACGTTTGGTTGGAATAAAGATAGCATGTCTTTAGCAAAGTAATAAATAAGTTTTTCATTTCAAAAATGTTTGTACTCATCCGCGCTGTACTCTCATTTCTTGTTGTATTTTTTCATCATTTGTTGTTATATTTTTTTTATATTATATAGATATTATAGATATTTAATATAAAAATTACTACAAAACTACAGTCTGTCCAGAAGATTCATTACTTATTTTAAATGCGAAACAAGATGAGAACTGTCTTCTTAAGTAAAAATCACAGTGAAAACAAATAACTCTTTGTCTCTCATAAATCTCATAAATTCTATAATTAAAGATTTGTTCTAAACTGATAAGTCACTAATTGTAAGTATTGATAGTAATTAATGCAACTTAACCCCAAATGTTTCGTAATTAATCAAATGAATGATTCTGTATACAAATATCAATACTCTTAACCCAGTGAGAAATGACAATGGAATCGACGTCGAATCGATGTCGATTCGACGTCGATTCCATTGTCATTTCTCACTGGGAAATAAAGTATCCAAACGCAAGTTAACGTATATTACCGTTCTACCGTTAAATCAAGTATTAAAGCAAATAATATCCTTGTACCTGTCGTCATTAGCATCAAAATGATCCTGCTGCTGTTGCTCGAGCGACAACGGCAAAACAGCTTCACTGGCAGGTGATACACGTCCTCTGTCCATTACTTTGGAACCAGATCTGAATCACGTATGAAAATAGAGAACATTTATTAAGTTATTATACTAGTGCGTAGAAAAAAATGCAGATTCTACGAAGCGATTTATATGTTAACGCTGTCTAAAACAAGCAAAAATATTTTGTTTTATTTTATTATCAAATCAAATTTAAAAAATCCTTACCTAGAAACAATTCTCACGCTTTTTTATTGCAAGATGATTATTTAAGTCAGATTTATAAATATAAATCTTATATAAGTTATATAAATCTTATGAATTTTTGTCAAATCTCAAAAACGAGAGATATACGAAATACCGCTGTTTTACCGAGTATTTATTTTTAATCTAGTAAATTTAAATTTTAAATCCTTTATAAAAAATAAACAGAAAAAAATTTCTTTTTTGATAGACCATTGTTTTTCGCAACTTTACCTTTTTTTGCAATAATTCTCAATAATATAGATATATTATGTATTGAATAATAATATTCTTGCTACATACCAATTACCTAAAGATTAAGCGTGCTAATTTTATTTGCGGTCAAGTTAGTCAAAAATAAATTAACTAAAAATTGGTTTATAACAATGATTTTTTATTTGTGTACAGTATGATATGTGGCTGACTGCGTATATGTATAGTATGTAAAATTAAAAGAATACTCGGCATGAGTTTAAGATTAAAAACTGTACATTTACGTATTGTAAAATAAAACCCGTATATGTTCAATGTCGTATGCAAATAATTTCGTATTATTAATTTGAATTGCAAAAGGAATAAGAGAGTGAGACCAACCTGTTTGGCACGTGGCGAGGAGTGTCGAGGCACGTGCGGGCAGCCGCAGCGGTATTCACTACATGCCTCTCCTGTACAGAGGAGCAACAACCCCGTCACTCCCTCACTCACTACCAAAATATTCTAAATGGTCACATAGAGCATACATACAGACGCTGTTAAATTTAAGTTTTTGCATCTCATTTATCCTCAGTACGTTGTGTATGTATGCTTTCTGAACCAGGCATTAATCAGACAAACAGAAAAAGATGAAAGAAGATGGAAGGTACAGAAACTATGTGGGGGATCTATTTAAACTCTCTCGCTTTCTTCCTAATGCGTCGCACCTGCTCCATATCGAATAACATCGAGAAGATATTAATCAAAGTGTCGCGGTTGTTACCAAAGCCCAAGGTGAATAAAAGTGCGAGACAAGAATAATTTGTTATAGTACATGTAATACGCAAAGACATTCAAAAATACTTTATAAAAATCACGCAAAATAAAAAAAGACATGCACGATAATAGTGCGATCGAAAACATTGTATGCAATGTTTATGTCAGATATACCGGTGCATCCTTTTTTAAATTGTGCTTCTGAATTTAGCAAGAGTATGGAGCAATCATCGAAAGCGTTAAACTGAAAAAAAAATTGATTTAATATACGGAATATATACACATTATAAAACAATGTCAAATTCTAATAAAGCATCAAAGAATAGTTTAGTGATTATGTCATGTTCATGCTTCATATTATCATCGTGTGCATTTCAGCATTAACTGTCCCCACTGAAAAAAATCACGTCATATAGTTGCATAATGAAATCATGTAATTAAAACATGTAAATTACGTAATGGATTGTTCCAAACCAGTACATAATTTTTTTTAATTACGTAATTTAAAAAGTCACATGATGATATATATTCTTTTTCCTTCTATTTCTATCATTCAATTCTTTAAAATTCGATAACTATAAAATCACATGATGGATAAAATTATTTCTAATATCATGTGATTTTTCAAATTACATAATTTTAAAACATCACGTACTGATTTGGAATAATTCGTTACGTGATTTACATGTTTTAATTACATAATTCCATCATGTAACGTTGTGACATGATTTTTTTCAATAGAGATTGCTCTTTAATTCTCCATTTTCATTCAAATCAAATATATTCTTGTACTGGAGTTACTACAAGTAAGTCCTACTTAACATCAAATGTACACTGAAAATATGTAGCATTAGTAAAATAATGTATGCCTCGCAAAATCAATAAGCCAGTTAAACATAATGTGATGCAAAAGTATCCCGCTCCAGCGAATACTCGTACATGATAAACCAAGCAAGAATAAAAATTATTGACACACCAATTTGAAATAGTCCACTGAAAAAAAAGAACAAAAGAGGAATCCGCAAAACTATGCAGTTAAAGATTGGCGCAAAGCAACAATGCTGAAATCATCAAGGTAAACATATTCAAACCTTGGTCTCGGTTTCTCTGGCAGACGGTTGCTCCCGAGTCGCTCCCTGAAAGGAGAGCTGCCAACTAGATTGGTCTGGAAAGTATGATGATATGTAAGGGTAATTGTGAATGATAATGATCAAGCTGATGATATCGTGAACATGTATATATAACTAAAATGCGACGTTCAACATTAAAAAGTGTCGCTCTTGTACAAGATATTAAATCGTGTATGTGTATACATATACATTATACAATATACAGATACATACAGAGTGGTCCATTTTAATCCATTCAGTCAATGTCTCAAAATCCTTAAGTTTAAGGCAAAATTGTTTCAAATAAAAACAGATAAAAATTGCTCAGTTACCAGGGAGAAAAATAGTGATCTTAATTAATCTTGAAAAGATGTCCTTAAGGTCAAGTCAAGATTATTTAAAATTTCTTAGATGTAATATAGTTTTTTTACATAACATAATTCTTCTAATTATTCTGCATATAAAAGTATTAAGGTCCCTAAGCAAAGCCTACGGAGACAGATTTCGAGTAGAGCTTGCTACCAATTTTTGATTGCAGAAAAGCAACAAATTGTACACAGAGTTTGTACTATCAGACATTGTCAGCAAACTGCTGTCAAAAATATGACAAAGTCTGCTAATACTATGCCAGCAAATTGATGTCAGAAACCGAATAGTCTGCTGCATAACCTGATAACAGATTGCGAGCAGAAACCGAACAGAGCCTGCTGACATAACTTGACAGCAAATTGAGAGCAAAAACCCAGCAAGATCTATCATTTTCATATACGGCATCGCCACGAGATGGACTTGCTTCTTGTAAGAAGAAATTGCCCAAGAGTCCTATGAGAATTAGCATATATAAATCGAATAGACAAATATCCTAGAGATTCCAAAGCTCTTTCGTAGTGTGCTTTCTGAATCTCCAAATATTTTTTTGACTTTCTATTTTATAACTTTCTCATGTGTATTTTTGAAATGTGAAGCTAATCAATAATATTTTAGCAATAAAACTATATTGATTGTTTCCAGTTCACACCAGTATATATAAATATATTATATATTACATATAATGATATATAACAATAAATATGTTAAACAAGGACTCTCTCTCCTTAAAATAACAAAAAGCAAACTAAATCTGGACTAATGAGAGTCAGCGCGAACGGAGGTGCGCAATAAAATTTTTACAAATTTTTAACAAATAAATTTGTTAATCCATACGAAGTGTTATATCATCTTTATTTGAAATCTTGAAAAATCTTGAACGTTTCGATTCTCTTTGGAATCTTCATCAGCAATCTTCTTAATCCATACTAGATTTCGCGAACGGTCAAGGTAGAGTCACTTACAGGTTGCCAAAACTGTAGTGTGATCTGTTTAAATTCATATACTTAAGATATTTTAATTCAACCAATAAAGCAACGAGTAACTCACCCACAATCGCCAAATCTCATCATAAAACTTTGGATGATATATTAATATTCACAACTAATCATATTTTATGTAGATTTGTTTGAACTCCGTCCAAGCCATCCGGAGTGACAAATATGTCTAACGAAACGTTTAAATTGAAAAACAAAGGTTGGATCGACGGAAAACAATAAGTCATAATTAGACTGCGGAACTTTATGCAAAATACTTAACTGAATGTTTTGCATAAAATGCATATTTTGCAATTTTGTAAATTTACAGATGGCAATCTCAATCTTTTTACTTCACCTTTTAATAACTCTTTAACGAACAACGATTGACTGCTAAAACTGTCCGATAGTTAATATTCAGTTAAGTATTTTGCATAAAGTTCCGCAGTCTAGTCATAATAAATATAAATATAAAAGACAGTACATTCGTACTGAGTTGCTGATTCTAACATATATAACGTATGTAACATATTTAACATATATAATATCACGTTATAGATATAATATAATAAATATAAGAACAGAAAATTATTGTAATAGTTTAAAATATAATTTAATACAAGAATTAAAGCGTCAAAAAGAAAATCTAGAATAACCAGTCAAAATTTAACGCGTTGCACATTACGCGTAAAACATTATGCGTAAAATGATGTAGTAATTTATAATCACTCGTTGTAAAAGTTAGAAATATAATTTAATACAAGAATTGATTAACGAAAGAATAGTTACAAATATAAATTAATGAATAAATTACTGAGTCAAAAAGAAAATTTAAACAACAAATCAAAATTTTAAACGTCGCATTAATATTATGCATAAAATTATGAAGTAAATTTATTATCGCTCAGTCTTAAAATATAAAAAGAATTTTGTTGTCAAAACATTAAAAAAACAACACTGTTAATCAAGCAATTTTTAAAGGATAATAGAAACATTATTTTCACTAAAGCTGACAAAGGTAATTTAACGGTTGCACTGGACAAAAACATGTATATCGAAAAAGTTAAAACAATGCTTGAAGACACATACATGAAAATTCTTAAGGATCCTACGAGTAAAATTAACAATAACTTGAAGCAACTGTTGGTAAGATGGAAAAAATAAAATTACATTTCTGAATCAACGTACAGACAACTTTATTGTAACGATGGTAACATTCCTAGGGCTTATGCGTTGTTAAAAGTGTATAAACTAAACTGCCCATTCAGAATCATCATATCTTCTTTGGATAGTACATTATATAATTTGGCAGCGTTCTTACATAGTTTGATTGTCAAAAGCATACCTAAAGCTGCTAGTAACATCGAGAATAGTTTTGAATTAGTTCAGAAATTAAAAAACATTAAAATTGATCGTGGTTTTAGTTTGGTGTCGTTGGATGTAATATCACTTTTTACCAACATTCCAACGGATCTAGCAATAGACGTTCTTTCCAATAGATGGGACTTTATTTGCAAGAATTGTAATTTACCGAAAAATGAATTTATCAAAGCTGTTCGCTTAGTGCTGGATTCAACTTATTTTACTTTTAACAGTCAATTTTATAAACAAATTTTTGGAACGCCTATGGGTTCACCACTTTCTCCGATTGTTGCTGACTTAGTTATGATGGATTTGGAGAATTGGGTGTTGAGCAATATTCAATATCATATACCATTTTATTATAAATATTGTTATGCCCGTCGCATGCCGTGCTATGCGGACACCCGTGGTGTCACGTTGTCAGGACGCCGTGCGGTTGTTGATAAAAGACGGCTGTCAGATATTGAGGAGAAGTCAGAACGCTCGGACGTGCTTCTCCACTGATATTACATTTTACGATACGGTATTCTGTACGGACGATTTCGTGGAGTTGACGTAGCTCAATAAACGACTTCCTGTTTTCCATACTTTAAAAACCCTTGAGTCTGTTCATTTCCGCGGCTTTGGCGCGCGCGTTGCTATACAAGTGCGATCTTGCATAACGGGCGCAACAATATGTAGATGATATCGTTCTTTGTTTACCAAATTCTAAAATCGATTCTATTCTCGAAAAATTCAATTCATTCCATCCAAGGTTACAATTCACTTTGGAATTGGGTGGTAACTCTTAATTTTTTGGACACAACCATAATTTAAAAAAATAACTCATTGATATTTGACTAGTATCAAAAACCAATGTTTTCAGGAAGATTTTTGAATTTT